TAAATATCACAATTTGACATTTAAATTCTGGAGATGGTGTTTATAACAAGACCAATACAATAGCTTTAGTATTAAGATATGGAAATGAATTTGGACTCATGACTAAGCGTGCTCAAATCCAGCTGAGTGGTACAAATGGTATGACTATAGCATTTGATTTGGGGATTGTATTCAACCATTTCTGACAAAACGCTAGTCCTTTCCAAGCATTTCTTGCCCTCAGTGGTTCTGATTATTCTAAAGCACTTTGAATTTTGTTTTATAAGATCCCACAAAGCTAAGAATCAAATTATAGAGCCCTACCCCAATTTATAAGTTTAATATCTGTAAGTTATATGCTCAATTATTAGAAATGGTAGTTATAATTGATTTTAAAATGCAGTTTTAATACTTTATGAACTATGTAAGTGATAGTTTGACTAAATTGAAGCCTTTAAAATTATCACCATTATTATTTTGTGCCAGCATGTGCAGCACAATCAGCAAATGCATGCAACCATGTCTTAACAGAGACCAACTTTATAACTTCTATAATGTTAGAGTTCTCAAACATAAGGCAGATTTTTGTTAATGGCTTTCTAATATTAAATTCTTTTTAATAAGATGAGATTATTTACAGCATTATTCCTCCTTCTGGCAAAACTCCTACTAGTTTACTTCACAAAACTACTTCTGGCAAGGTGCACTCACCACTTTTTAATTTTACTTATGTTTTAGAGAGCCTTCATCCAAAGTATTTTTGAAACACTGATGATCACCAAAATCTTCCATTTTATGGTAGTTTGTATTTTACTTTAAGGCACAAAACAATAATGTGAACTGCTAAATTGCGTGCCTTTCAGTGAAGGTAGAATTCTAATCAAAGGTTTTAATAATTGTTTTCTTTTTCAGTATGACTAAGTGTATACCTTTGGGGGTCTCATAAGTTGAGAAATTTGACAAAAGAAATATATTACATGCTCTTATAATATGTGGTTCTCAAAAATTACTCTGAAATGCTCCCAGTGTTAAATATCCATACAGTTGAGATTGACCATCAAATGTGATGTGAATAATAAAAGAGCTAATTTCCTAACTCTCCTTTCATGGAAATATAGTCTAGCCACTCTGTATTATTTTACCAAAACCCTGATAGTAAGTGAGACATAATTCTTTCAAGAACCACTTAAAGTGCCTAGAGAGGATTTCTCTAGGCACCACAGGAGTAACAAATACTTTGCAGTTAGAAGGTCCGTAGGCCAAGGCCTCATCCCAGTGAAGGCGACATGCTGCTCTGGCTAAGGGACCTATGCCCTCTGACCTGGCTGGATAAGCTGGTCCATACCCAGGGGTGACAGGCTGGGGAGTTATGGGGTCAAGAGCTTTGCTTGCTGATACTAAACCCTAAACTTTATAATTCAATAAGTAGCACTTTCTGGAAACTCACTAATGGCCTCCTAGGAGAGCCTTTCTCCCCGATTCTGTTAATCATTGAGCTCTCTTTTTCTGAATTTGAGTATGAATCATGGCTGTAACTCAAGGGTGGCCTGATAAAGGTTAGGCATCAACAGCCTGCCCTGTGATTTCCAGGTCAAAGGAAAAGAAAAAAAAATGCGCAGAGGGTGGGGGTTGAAAACAACTGCCAATTTAAGAGAGGTCTGGGAAGAGTGCTACTGTTGAAAAATAATGTTGACCTCAAAGTCACCTTTAGTACAACGCAGCTTCTGCTCAAGGATAAACTGAGCCTTGGCTAAGCTCTAACATATTAAAACTAGAATGCCGCTTCTGTTTTAAAAAATTTTATTTTATTATCATTAAAAATAGGTTTATTATTATTAAGGTATACTGCATGATGGTATGGGATGCATACAGATAGTAAAAAGTTACTATAATGAAGCAAATTAACATATGCATCATTTCACAGTTACCTATTTTTGTTGTTTTTGTAGCAAGAGCAGCTAAAATCTACTAATTTAGTATGAATCCTATACAGTATATAGTACATTTTTATTACCTATAGTCCTCATGTTGTATATTAGCTCTCTAGACTGTCGTATTCACAATACCTTGAGTTTTGCTTATATTTGATGTAAATGGCTATTCTTGATTGAGACAACCATTTTCCTAATCTATACTTAAAGCAACTGGTTCACAGAGGTTTAACATGAACATGTATAAATGATTCTCTAAGATGGTTAAATGTAAACCTTCAAAGATTTTGAAGGCCCTGGCTCAACGATTGCATAACTCAATATTTACTATTGATTATAACATACATGATTTGTTAACTCAGAGCCTTTTTGTTGTTACACTTATCTTAAGTATCCTATTGATTATAGTCTTTGGAGAGCTTGAAATCAAAATTGTGTTTATTTTTCCTTGGCCAAATTAGATACAAACAAGGAAATCTGAGCGTAGAGAAGAAAATCACATTTTCAAAGATTTAATAATCAGAATAATCCTCCTTATTATCCCTACCAGATGAACTTTAAAAGCTCAAATGAATGGAATAAGCTAAATTAGGTCAATGTGTGGTTTTATCATCAGATATGTTATTTGACCTAATTATTAAATTAGGGGAAAAGTATACAAAGTTGAAGTTTAAGGACTGAGAAAGCCCTGAGGTCACATTTTACCCGTACCATTTTACCATATACCATGTATACGCTCCCTCTAATCCCAATGAACCGTCTATTGCTGATGAAATTTATTTTCTAAATCATTTATTACTGAATAATTTCCAGGCCAAAGGAAAAGAGAAACTGAGGAAAATGACAACAAGGACCAGAGAAACAAGAACACAGTACATGTTCATTAGATGACTTAGCCGACCAATAGTCTAATTTTTGTATAGTTTTGAACTGTAACTTTTGCGCCCTTTGTAGTATTCTGTAACTGAGAAAATATTTACATGCAAAAGCACTCATTTTTATTTAATCCTCACAATAAAGTCACTTGGTTCTTATTACCATTTCATTCCATAGGTGTAGATGTCATGGCTCAGGGAGTGTAAAAACAGTCCATAGAGATCCATTCAAATAATTACTAGTTAAGTGGCTAGAATATGCCAGAGACAGCTAGTGATTAACAGGCAGTCTTTGAACTCAAATCTAATCACTAAATCTATCATCGACAACATGGTTTCAGTATCTTTCTTACTTCAGAGAAGCAGGCATCTTCCAGTCTATTAGAGTTATCACGTTAGTTCAACTCTCCTTGCCACTCCAGCCCTGTGCCAAGCCACCCTTGACAATCTGTTAGCGAGAGAGCATGACTTGAAACCTTGAGTATAAACTACAGGAAGAATGTGAAGCAGAGCTGAGGGGCTACTCTCTCTTCCCACTATGAGGCCTTTCTCTGTACTAGGCTCCTCTCTGCTGTGCCCCACCCTTTACACTCCTTTGAATTCTTATTTGACAAGCAATCTGAAACCAGGTTCTTAAAAGAAAAGGGGTTGAGGGTAAGCCTGATTAAGAAAAAAAGAAAGTAAAATATACATATTTTAAAGAGAGACAGATTTAACCACAGAGAAGAAAGATTGAAGAAAATATTGAGAAAATATGTGCAAATTACAGACCAATAATTAGAGAAGTTAACAAAAGACATACCTTTAAGAAAAGCTATATGCCCAAGTGGCTTAACAGATACATGTAGTCTTTAAAAAATTTAATAATCCATGTTATTTGTATACTCTAACTCATAGAAAATACATTAATCTCCATTTTATGCAGTTAGTGACACTATTGGACAAAACCCAAAACCCAATAGATAAGTCAGTTTTGCTCATCAGCATAGATACAAAATTCTAAATCAGATGTTACCAATCTAATCCAGAAATATATGAAAAGAGAAATAATTTGAGCTTATCTTAGGTGTGTGAGGATAGTTCAATATTAAACAATCTTTCAAAATATTCATTAAGCCAAAAAATTGAGTTGAAAATGAATATTGCTATGACTATAAAAATAGTATACAAAATGGGATTTATCAAAATTCACCATCTATTCCCAATTTTCAAAACCTCCCAATAAAAGAAATAGAAGAAAAATATGAGAGAGGCCATTTGGCATAATCCAAGAGCCAACATCAAACTGAACAGTAAAATGCTGAAGCCATTTCTATTAAAATCAGGAACAAGGCAGAATGTCCACATCTCATCACTTCAGAACTAATTAAGACAAGGAATGAAATATTCATACAAATATTAGAAAATGTTAGAAAATAAAAATCATTATTTTTGCAAGACATGTAAATAGACATAGATACCCCAAGAGACTAGTTTAATAAATTAATTGAATAAAAAACAATTGGTGATAATATATAAAAATATTTAGCTTCTCTTACTAGCAATAACAGAATAGAATAGCATGGAAAATTAACAACCAATAGAAATATAATTCACAATAACAAGTAATTATAACAAAATGTATGTGAAAAAATATAAAATTGTGTTAGCAACCATAAACCAGGACTTGGACAAATTGAATGATATACTCTGATCCTCAGTGAGGATCTTTACTATTAAAAAATGTTATCCTTCTAAAATTAATAGGTGAATTGTATTCAATTTAATTATATATATATATATTTGGAGTAATAGTTTAAAGGTAAGTCAAAGACATCTGAGAATATCCAAGAATACACTACAAAAGATAATTTTAACACATAACTAGCATTCTCAGATATTGAAGGATAATAAATATATAATATACTTCTGTTAGTATTATTCTTATTACCTCAAAACATGTCATTTTTCTATTAGGGAGATTCATGGACAAGAAAGGACCCCAAGTTTCTATGTGTATACTGGTCTCAAGGAAGCAAAATTGGTGATTGTGTTACACAAGGGTACCATGAAAGGCCATTTGTAGACCTCTAATTTCATGTTGCTAGCAGAAGGTAGACCTTGACCACATAAAGTGAAAGATGGTAGTATAACAAGAATAAATGTTCTGCTGTTTGGCTCTATGTGAGTCTAATAGGTAGATATTGCAATAGCTAATAAGAAATCATTTACTTACATTGTTGCAGAATTCCAAGAGACAGGAAGACCAACTGGGAGTCAGGATGATTTATTTAAGGTGTATACACCAGCTCAGCAGACTCTGTGTCTAAAATGGCTGAGCACTGAACAAAAAGAAGTTCCGGCTTTTATACATTTTGTCAAAGGAGGAGGTTTTTCTAGTGGCATAGCAAGTGAATTTATTAGAGCAGGACAAGGACAGACAGTTTTGTAACTTTGCCTTGAAAGAAGACAGTATCTTATGAATCATACAAGAACACAGTGTCATAAACTTTGTTTATAGGACATAGTTGTTAATTTAATCTGTATCAGAACAAGGAGTTACAGCTACAGGGGAGAGAGGGATGATGGAGAGGGGACTGCCCAAGAATGGGAAGGACTTGTTTTTCTTTAAGTCTTGCTTCAACGTAAGTCAATGCTATAATATCTGAACTGAATGCATGTGGGGAAGCACAAAGAAACACTTGAAGGTTATTATTTAGAGGTCCCAAAGTTCCACTTTTCTCTTCACATTGCCCTACTAAACCATATCAGATAAATATAGTTGGCAGGAAAAAATTAGATGCAAGCTGAATGAGTAGGAAATTTTAATTAAAGAATAATTGTGGATATAGATGACACTTATAGGTGAAGTTATCACTTCCCTTCTCTCTCCCATCTCAACTCCTAACACAGAGTGATAATTGCTTTAAAAGCAAAATAGTTCTGAATACCCTGATACGTATTTTTTCCCAAGAACTAAAAGTAGCAAATTTCAACACCTGATGAATCATGTTATCTCTTATCTCACTTAACAAATTCTAATAGGCAGCAAAAAATCTCCTGCAGGGTTTTCATTTATTTCAGCACAAAATGTTCGAGGTTGAATTCTAGCCCAGAAAATGGAGCAGAAAGATCAGGAAACGGAAATTGTATAACTGTCATCAGGAATAATATTTTGTTCTTCTAGACCTGAATAATAACATTGTACCACTAATGCTCATATTTCCTCCTCAAGAAAAATAAATTATCAAAGACTTAGAAATCTGAATAAAAAGTAGACCAACATTAAGTCTCCTAAATGAACTCATTGTGATAGTTTTTAAAAATCATGAAAAACATTACATCACGGTTTTTCTTTTAACAGAACTGGAATGAACACTTGCAACATTCATAAAATGGACAGAAGATAATTGTGGCCAATTATATTATACTCCTACTCCTTAAAAAAAAATCTAACAGTCCAGGAAATGAGTCCTGAAATCCCTCCTGTATGTGGTAACACATCCCACTGAGCCGTATTGTCTGTTAAATGCTCTGCTTTCACACAGTCTGAGTGAGAATGCATTTTTATTGATTTTTATGTACCACACCTTGTGCTCCAAAATGGACTTAGTGATAGCTTTTAAAGACATATAAAGTATAACAAGACTTCAAAAATTAAAAGTGTGAGCAAAGAAGAAAGGAAAATATGGGTAGTAACATAAATCGAACCAAACATAAGTCCAAAAAAAGGCCTATGATGATAACCTCACCCTTGTTACTGAGTGGAAGGCAGATCTGTTGCTAAGATGACTAGCGGTGACAGAAAAGAAAACCATCAGATTCCGCTATATTCCCTATAAAAGAAAAAAAAAACTTGAGTGTTGGCTTAAATTATTTTATTTGTAATAGTAATAAAATAATTATTAGTAGTTAGGATTAGATGTAATTCAGAGTGTTTATTGTAACTCTAGGTACTTTTCTGAGAACATTATATACCTTTAATTTCATCCTCACAATCTAATTAAGTAGATAACACAATTATCTCCTTTTTATAGTTTAGGAAATAGAGGAACAAAGAGATATGTGACTTGCTCCTGATAAGGAATAATATTGAGATGTTATTAAATGTGTACTTAAGATATAAGGTATAAACACTATGAGGTTATAGCTTATATGCATCCACCTATCTCACATTTAATTAAAGATAAACAAAGCTACAAAAACAAGCCAAGCCAACAACTTCATTTTTATAGGCTAGATGGTGGTATTGTTTGAAACTAAGTCCTACTTGAGACATTAATAGGAGTTGAGTGTTACACTGAGAGTCAATTTAAGTTTGACATGCTACAATTTGATAACTCAATTCTTCCCTAATGAGACTACTGGGATATCTAGTTCACAGGGCCTGTGGAGGGACCTTTCAGCGTTCTTTTGGTGAGAAGACACCCTTAGTGCATGGACCCCACGAGTGTTATTTTCTCATTACCTGGCAACAGTTCAAGAACAACCACTGGGCATCAACTCTACTGAAAGCCCAAACATGAATTCAGGCAAATCTTGGACCACTCTTAATTATAAGGTGAAAATGATCCAAAGTGTGCTTACATTAATTTATTTCCTATAGTGTCACTTATATAAAAACACAAAGTTTATTCTTGTGAATAACACTCAGGCCCCCTATTTTGGAAAACACAGTTTTTGAGAACTTTATAGTGTTCTTCATTTTGAAAATAAATAAATTGCTCAAGTATAATCTTTATACTAGAAGACAGTTACCTCTTATGGGAGGGAACAATATAAAGAAGATAGCATGGCCTCCATGGCCGGGGATGTAGTTCAGTGATTCCGCCACCTGCCTTGCAAGTGCAAGGTCTGGAGTTCAATCCCCGATACCAAAAAAAAAAAGAAGAAAAAGAAGATAGTATGGAATTAAAACTAATAATAACTTTGGCAACTCTTCTATGAAAAAAAAACAAGGATTCTGAAAATACAGTGATAATGCCATACCAACAGGCTGTTCAATAAAAATAATCCTGATAATCTGGTTTTGTTTGACTTTTTTTTTGGAGATCAAACCCAGGGCTTTAATGATTGCTAGGCAGGCACTCTATCACTGAACTATACCCTTTTCTCCTACTTGAGGGTATTTTTTTTAAGTAAGGGGAAGTTGAGCTTTGGGGAAAGGAGTTTGTGACAATGAACTCAGAGATGTCAAAGATTTAAATTAACAAGTTATATGTTAGCTTAAAGTCTTCAACATGGCCCATGATCGTCAGTATCAAGAAGTTCTTGTATAGAAAGCTAAGGAGCTTAATAAGGACTTGAACCTAAATAGACATACTGCACTTCTACTCACAGGTGGGTTGAAGGAATGTTCTTAGGAAGTGTGCCATGCAATAAAGTAAATTTATATGATGTCCATAAGACAATTTATTATTTTCGTTAACTGGTAGTATTATCAGTTAGCCTGCTTTCAAATGACTTAAGCAATAATGAAATATATTATCTCATATAATAAAATGTCTAGTTTGGCGTGTCTTCAGAGTTGTCAAAAAGCCCAGGCCCAGTATCTTTCTCTCATCACTTTGCCTTTCAGTGTAAATTTCTTTCTAAAACAGGTTTTCCAGCCGTCAGGAGTATAGTTGCCAGTAGTAATAAGGTACATGATTGCTTATTTGTATCCAGCAGAGAGCAAATGAGCTTCGACCTCAATTATGCAAGAAAATTCCTTGCCGTTAATCTGATTGGGTAAACATAGGTCTCATTGCTAACCGAATGCCATGAGCTGACTGCTTAAGCCAGGTTACTTAACCAATCCAGGTAAGAGATCACCATACTTACCGTAGACTTGTTAGAGACCTCTCAGCTTGGAGCTTGAGTCACTTTCCCCTCAGTCACGTGGTTGCAATTTGTGGGTGTTTCCATCGCATAAATCTCAAGTTTCACCATGAAGGGGGAAATAGGGTGAACAACCAACAAATTTTCCAGCAACAAATTTTGGGCTAGGGATGTTGCTCAATAGCAGAGAGTATACTTAACATCTGTAAGGTTCTGGCTTTAATGCCCAGCACGAACACACACACAGACACACACACACACACACACACACACCCCCACACACACACCCACGGATTTTCTGAGAATATTAGTTTTGTACTGTCCTGATGTACAGCATACATAGGCTATAGGGGGCAGTATTTGGTGAAATACTGCTATGCTTTAGTGACACTTCTCTCAGACAGTGTTTATTTCTTTTTTTTTTTTAGTACCGGAGATCGAACTCAGGTCCTTGTGCTTGCAAGGCAGGCAGCAGAACCACTGAGCCAAATCCCTGGCCCAGTGTTTATTTCTTTAAGAGTCTAACATCATGTGCTATTGATAAATCATAAACCATAACAAATATTTTCATCAATGAAAACCACAGTGGCTTGGAATCAAGTGCACAGAAATAATGACTTGGTTTTTTTCTCAGTATTTCACTATAGGGTATTCCTTACATTAGACTTCATTCACAGAATGGTTTGAGTTACAAGAACAATTTACATATTCAATTAATGTATTTTCCTTAAGCAACCAATTGCCTGCTATGTGCTGTAAAATGAATGACCACACAAAAGATATTCATATATATTTATTCCATGTTCTATGAATTCATTCTGTATAAAACAGTAAGGGTAACATTAAACCCAGTAGAAAGACAAGCTAATAAACAGAACAACTACTGAGGCTTAGGTGCTTTAGACTCTGAGATGTAAACAAATGAGAGGGAAGGTTTTCCAATAAGCAGGCTCCTGTGAACAAAAGGCTGGGCAGGGTGGTGACTCTCTGGGAAGATGCAGAACTAGCAGATAACTGAGATTGGGTAATCTTAATTAGTGGCTAATGAGAAATCTAATGGAGATAAACTATCTCTAATGGAGATAAAACTAACATTTGTTGGTTGTCTACAATGTACTAGACCCTGTGTTGGGTGTTTCATATATTTAAATTATTTAATTCTCTTTTTAAAAATTAGTACTTGTTTGTAATACATAATACATACATTCATAGTGGGGAGTGGGTACATATACATATTGGGTTTTAATCCTTTTTATTTCCCAGAACCTACCGAGTAAATACTACCATTATCATCCTCTTTCTCTGGGTGAGGAAACTGAAGCTCAAAGATGTTAAGCAAATTGTTCAAGGTCACACAGCTAGTAATTGGCAGAACAGTTTTAATCCAGGTCTTTTTTATTGCAAATCCTCAGCTTTCCCCACTGCCAGATGCTATCTCTTGTTGCAGGAGAAAATGATACGACAAGAACTAAAGATTCAAGGTAACAAGCCTGTGGAAGAAGATCTGAGGGAGGATATTGCAGTAATCTAAAGGTGTAGG